GTTCATTTTAATTAAAACAAAATTTGCTTTGACTTTAGCTTGTAGCTTTCAAAAGGTGATTCAGATGCTCACATTACAGAGGTTGTGAAAAATTCAACAATTCAATTTATTTCAAAAGGATTTGTATAGTTTGATAGCCAACTCTATAAGCTTTAATTTGATTCAACAGTTTAGGTATCTACAGTTTAAACCAGACTCGCTACATGGCTCAGACAAGAGACACCTCTAAAGGTATATGGTAACCTTGAGCCATGAAACACAGCATTGAAAATATTCAAGTGCTGAACTATGGATTTTACACAAGATGACTGCTACAGTTAATTCTAGCTTCAATGAATGTTTACAATAGACTTGCTGGGACTTGTGAAATAGAAGAATAACAGAAAATCAAAATATGGGGCAAATGACCAGTACATGTAAGTCTCAGTAGGTCTGATAATGGCTGGTCATTGTTTTTAGTTAAACCTGGTCATGGCCGGATATTGCTGTCAAATGAAACAGAGCACATCAAGGTTGTTGATGCTATGTCCTATGTGCCCTCTCCAAGTGAGAGGTGTCATGGAAGCAGTCACTGCATTACGGCATCACCAACTTTAAGCAGTGGTTCAACTCTGATGTCACCAAAACATCATCACGACCAAGTGTTTGAATCAGCAACAGCTGCAACTGATGAGTTCAGAGTACTGGCTGGACCACGAAGAAGAGTCAGGAGACGGTAAGGAGCGTTCCATACTTCTGACAGATCTGAATGCATTATCGTTAATAATGCTACAAAAAGGATTTATTTACGTAAAAGTTTTTGTTGAATTCTTACATTGTTTTTGTCATATTATTCCTAGACATTCATCAGGTGCAACAACTTGCTTCTCATCCTCTCCACGTAACAGATATCAAGCCAGCTCTAAGAACTCTGTAAGTACAATTCGACTAAAATTGTAGCACTGGGACTTAGGTTTTACTCAAACATCTGATTTAATTTCCAAAGGTCACTGTGCTGCACCAAGTCTGTCATGCAAAAAGATTTTCTTAGCACTAAAGCTGTCAGGCCACATTAAGTTCTCCAAGCTTCTAAGTTACAAGCTTAGTGGCATGATGCCTATCCCTAATGGCAAATGTATTGGACTCTACATTCAGATGAGTGTTCTTGGTTCATGCACCAGATATTTCCCTTCTCCCAGTCGTCAGACTGGAATAAACTAGTCTTATCTTTTTCATTTATCAATGAATCCTTTCCATTACTGGGTACAACTCAGTGGCAGAATAGGCCCGTTGCACAATTCCTTTACATAATACAAAATCTGTCATGCTGGGATGCAAGTTGCACCGCAGAATTTGCAAACTAAGGAAAGTCAAACTGGACTGGTGTGAGTTGCTTTGTTTTGGAAGTACCACTATGCAACTTGCACCCCAGCATGGCCGATATTGTACCATGTGACCAGATCATGCAAAGAGTCTATTCAGAAGACAAACATTGCTAATGAAGGCTATACTCTCAATTCATTACATGCCAGCCTCAATATATTTACATGCACCAAGTTTCTTGAGATACACTTATGTATGTTTGGTTTTGCATATTGCGAAGGTTGATTGAATGCACATATTTACACATCTTTGGTCAGTAGTATTTATTTTATGTCAATTATTGTAAACAGGTAATGAGGGAATTAGAGCAAGGCAAAACCAAACAGTCACACAGCCCCACCCTGCTGCCAAATGATGCATTGGAAATAAGTCATATTTCAGTTGCTGCTACTGTAGAGCCAATGAATGTAGGCACTCCTTCAAGTCGTGTTCTGTATTCTGGATCAGCTCTGCAAAAACAAAACACCAACCTAACCCCTTGTAAATTCCACCGTGCAACTCCCCCAATGCCAGCAACCAACGCAGAGCTTAGAGAGATGCTGTCTCAGAAGATTTAATGCCACACTACCAAAGACATCAAACTCATTGAACAAAGCTATCATATTGTAATTTTGATCATTACTAAAACTTTTAGTTCTGAAAAGTAATTTACTATTGTGACATTCACTATAGAGGTATGAAGCAAAGGGAAATATGCAGTTCTAGTGAATGGAGCACCGACAGGTTTTAAACATTGTTAAACTTGTTGGGTTCTGAAGTGAGTGAAGATGTAAGATTGTCACAAATCAACATTGCATTTCAAAAGACCACTGTTGTAAGAATCCTTAAGTTTAATGCAACAGGCTTAATAGGCTGTTTGATCTGGCTTAGTCAGTGCATATTATTGGAGAAATGATTTGTTGACCAGGTTGTGGCACAGCATAGAACTTAAATAAATGATACAAGACTCTCTGCGTGTACAACATTTTGAGACTGCGGACTGCACTCTGGTTAGCCAGTAAGTGCTATCTTAGCCTGAATAATGGTTTATGCAAGTTAGCCAGTTCAGGGTTACCTAAACAGGCTAACCTATTTGTAGAGTCTGCAATCTGCAAATGTCACACAATGCAATTTGCTTGGAAACAGATTGAATTGAAATTAAAGTTCAAAAAATTGAATTAAAGCCAAATTTTATGGTAACAATAGAAAATAAGGCAGAATATTTCAAGAAAATACCACATTAAGTTTCCCTAACTTGCATCAAACGACAATATTCCACTTTCCGGTTGAGGGGAAGGCCAAAAGCCTCCGAACAACTCTTGGAAAGCAAAAGCAAAAGCAGTACCTCAACTTCTTTATAGTTTGAGTGGTGTCATTACAGTGAGCCAGAAGTCAAAGTAAGCCTGTTAAAATGTACATTGATCATTAGAAATTAGATATTTTTGCTTTATGTGTAGTCCACATTTAATAAGTAACCTTTTATTAGTGAGTAATCTTGGTGTTCAAGTGTCATCGCCTAGGGAATTAGAAACATTAACTTTTATTATTTCCTGTTTAATGATATTTTACAACTAATAAAGATAAAAAATGCTTCCTGTGTAGACACGTACTTGCTGCAATGTATAGAACAATAAAGAAGGGAATTTATTCTCCAATGTTTCGGAAAATAATAATTTCATTTGCCGTACAATTCACATACCGTAAACTCCAGCTTTTAAGCCCTTTCGCTTAAAAGCCCCACCTGCCCCCCAGCACTTATAGGCCATCTAACCCCACCCCACAGTTATGGGTGCATCTACCTGTAGGCAAAATATTAATTCTGATTATAACCCCCCTCTTGTTTAACATGAAATGAGGTGGATTTAAGATCAGTATATGAATAAATTTCGATCAACACTGCTGTTGCTCAGTTTGAAACGTTTCTTCTTTTTTAATTGTGCTAATACGCCCCCCAGTATGTTCATGACAAAAAAAAAAAAATTTTAAAAATGACACACTAAGGTGACAGTTTCCCAAACCTTTAATTTTTGGCCTAAAAATCCAGTATTTCCTTAATTCCATTCCTTGGATATCCATTCAAAATACCCCATTAATATTCCCCCAAAATATCTTGTGTCCTGTTAATTTTTGAAGTGTTAAATAGACACAAATTAATGGCCCGTGTATTAACTCTGTAAAAATAATGTTCAAAGAAATTAACATGACTTAAATTGCACTAACTACGGCCTTATCCACAACAGAGCGCAGAGAAGATAGGTCAGGTCAAATTGCACTACCTGAATAAGGCATCTTATCTGTATCAGTGTGTACAATGAGTGGTGAGCTGGATGGACTAGTTTGGTTGACTTTACGACATTGATATTGTAGACAATAAAATCTGAGGCAATGCATCCATTTATTTGAAGTTAAAATTAAAAGTTAGAGAATCCATAAGGTGTACCTACAATGTATCAATGTTAAATATTTACCTTTGTTGTTGTCTAAACATTAACCTTACTGGAAAAAGTTAAAAAGTTGAATTTTCCAGTAGGAATTAGCTCAACTTTCAAACCTTATGTATCATTGTTCAAAGAAAAAACTCCTGCCATTCATGATCTATGGCAAGAAAACACTGACCAAGATTTAACAAATTCCATTTACAGTCTCTCCAAGAATTAGCCCTCTAAAAATGGAACACTTTATATAATATTTAATGTTAAATAATTACATATTATAATAATAAGTTAGTTGGACAATATATCCCACTGGAAATTCTAAAAAAAAGATTAACTGCAAAGTAAACTTTGTACATCCTGATTATAAATTTAGACATTCAATTTAGTACTTCAATTCTGTTGAAAAGTGATAGCAGTAGCCTTTAGAATTAAAACCCTGAAAACCTCCTTGAGCTTCAAGTTTTTGTATCATGAACCATACTAAATTGGTAATTTTAAAGTCACTGAATATGTTTTATTTTGCTTGTTTGTTATCAGTATTGTCTTTGTTATGTCCACACATGTACAAAAGAAACTAATTACCCAGCATTATTTGATCAAAGAACCATACTTCTGATGTGTTTTCAGATGGCAACACACTCAAATCTCTTCACATGACTCAATAAACAAACTGAAAACATCATTTCACATGTCTTTTGCCACCAATTTTTATTGATACGCAACCATCGAATCAAACCTCTTGGCGATTTGCTTCCGTCAATCATGCACTCCTTACATGGCGCTATAAGAATGCCTGATTTGTTTTTGAAAATATGGCTGTCACTGTGTAGCCTGTTCATTCAACATGGTTGCTTGTTATTCTTCAAGTTTACGTTGGCAAGTGGTCTATTTGCTCATGGTGTATTTGCTTGTGCATGGGTTTTAGCGTGAGCATTGTAGGAAGATTTCTGCATGCAGGGGAAGACATTTGTGAAGACAGTTCAGGAAATCTATGGTTGATTACCCAGCTGGAATGGGAAAAGCAAGGCAAATGGATGGCAGGTGAAAAAAGAATCACATAATTGGCATAAGTAAACAAACATTCAGTAGATGACACTGATCCCACGACATAATTTTTGTAAGGAGAATCACTTAACAATATCCCGCAGTGTATAAAGATGAAATACAGAGATGGCTAGATGGCAATATGCCTTTTAACTGTTTCAAAAATAAGATTTGGTACATACTTTCGTGTGGCAGTGAGTTTGACTTGTAAATTCATTGTCTTGCAATCAAACTCATTCATAAATAAATATATTTCTGTATTTCTGATTTGTGCAATTCTTTTCTAACCTACCGTCCATTTACCTCGCTTTTCCCATCCGGGCTGGGTAATCAACCGTGGAGTTATTCTGTAGATTCCCCAAATTTTCTTCCCAAATGAAATGTCTTCCCCACGTGCAGAAATCTTACTATAATGCTAACGCTTAACCCCAGCATGAGCAAATAGACCACTCACCAATGTAAACTTGAAGAATAACAAGCAACCATGCTGAACAAACAGGCTACACAGTGGCCCCCATATGTTTGAAAACATGAGTGGCAACCCTATACATGTAGCAAAATATAAGGAGCGCATGATTGACGAAAATGAATCGCCAAATGTTTGCGGGAGTTTTGATCCGAGAGTCGCGTATCAATATAAATTGGTGATGAGGAGTCAGCATCTACTAATAATTGTAATTGTGAAACCAATGTCTGTGCCCCTTGAGTTTCTTCATGATTTTAGTTATAGAAACATAAGTGGAAGTTTGCGAGAATGAGAAATGCTGTTGGCTGTTGCCTCCTGTTCCCAGTGCTTTCTTGAGCTCTCCCAAACTTCCACGAGTGTTTCTATAAGTTGATAGGAACACGGAAAATCCTGTGATGAAAAAAGAGGGAATGAGGAGTAAACAACAGCACCAATGAAAAATCAATGATGTCAATGAGCAATGGATAGGCCACAAAATGTTTGGTCAACAATTAATTGTGGACTTCTCATTGATTACTGCCAATAATCAATGATTAATCGGATGAACAGTAATTGATTACTCATCAATTACTCATTGATGTCATTGACCATCGATTACTTACGTCTGGAACTTAACACCCATTAATTCTTAAAATTGACTTTCAAGACTCATTCTGGAAACTACAGGTAACATATTTTCAATAAACAGAACACTGTGCCTGTTAAAATATCGAATGAGCAAGTCCAGTTGTATGGTACATGATTCAACAACTTAAAGCTCAAGGTCTTTGAGTTGTTTGTGAGGTCTTCAGTCAGTGTTTTTAGCACTACCTAGTGGCAGCATCCTTATGAATAGCCAGGCAAGAAGCTTATAGAGGCTTCATAAAAACTATTAACAGAAAATTCCCACTGCTGAAGTTCAGTTTACAACACAATCTGTACTTAATTAACCATTAACAGAAAATGTTCACATTTTACAAACAACGAGTCCATTGTTGACAAAACAAGTTCAGCCTGGAAGTTCACACATTTACAGTAAACATCTTCTGACAAAGGTATGGGGGAAGTCCCATTAACTGAATTCTTTGCCAGAGCAGACAGAGTCATCAAGAATATGGACATGAGATAACCTGTGCAAAAAAAAAAAGAGTTTAGCAACAATGGGGAACTGAAAGGAAGAAGTCACATCATGTGACCCTGCACATTATTAAACAAACCTTTTAATTGTTATTTGCATGGGTAGGTTACTGTACAATGATACTTTTGTTGAATGGTTTGGGCAAATGGCAATATTAAATGACATTTGTGACATGGGAAATGGTCTTGTTTCATCCCATTTAACAATACCAGCATACTACACTAACTCCTTTCTACAGAGCCTGTCAGCAGGCTCATGTTGGAGCACAAGCGCTCATTGCGTAGCTGCGAGCGCGAAATCGAGCAGTGAAGCTGCAAGACGACAAAGTGAGCTTGCTCTGATCTCTGCAAATTTTTTATTTCCACTCTGGAAACCGCAGAAAAAATAAGCCAACTAATTTTCACCAGAAGTATTAACTATGGCAGCTCAGATTTCTCAGGAAAATTGTAAATCTTTTTCATAACAACAAGCAGGCGTGATATCTGTTGTTGATACAGTTTTGCAGAAGAAAAACCGTCAAAGCTTATGTCCAGCAAGGACACACACTTGATTCCAAGTGATCTTTCTTTGGCAGTCTGGTCTTTGATGATAATGATAATAATAATTTATTTCTAGCACATTACATCAAAAATCTCAATCACGCTCTTAGAAAAAATAGTAATAATTTAATTAGGATCAAGGGTCCTTTACAATAATCAATTACAATGTAAAAACTAAACAACAAACAAGATTGGCATGCTTAAAGATGAAATACAATGCTTTAAGTCTGTTTTTAAAAATGACAATGGACAGGGCACTGCTCACGACTAGTGGAAGGTCATTCCAAAGCATGAGTGCGCAAGATGAAAAAGCGTGACCACAATAGTTTTTTTGTCCTAAACACTGGCCTGTACAGTTGCAGGTTGTCAGTGGCGTTTGAGCAAAGATGCCTATTTGGTTGATGCAATACTAACAAATCAGCTAAGTACTTAACACTTACTTACTTGTAAA